GGTCAGTACTGTGGAAGGGTACATGATACCACTACATTAGATGCACTCCCTTTTAAGAATCTTAGCCCATGTAAAGAATGCCATATGTAACCGAGGGGTTAGGTGCCTTTTGACATACAAATGAAAAGGTTACCAAGAATCTTTTGCCATGAGATATTAGACCAAATCTTTTTCCATGAGATATTAGACCAAATCTTTTGCCATGAGATACTTAGACCGACTTAAACACTATCGTTTACAATATTTTTGAGTAAACAAAATGGACATGCGCATCTGGGGAATCAAACCCCGATCAGTACCGTGGAAGGGTACTATGATACCAGGTAAAGAAAGCCCAATGTAACCGAGGGTTTAAGTGCCTTTTAACATACAAATTAAAAGGTCACTATCATTTACAATATTTTTGAGTAAACAAAATGGATGTGCGCATCTGGGTAATCGAACCCCTGTCAGTACCGTGGAAGGGTACTATGATACCACGTAAAGATAGCCCTATGTAACCAAGTGTTTAAGTGCCTTTTGACATACAAATGAAAATGTTACCAAGAATCTTTTTCCTTGAGATTCCTAGACTGTCTTAAACACTACCGTGTACAATATTTTTGAGTAAAAAAGAATGGACGTGCAACTCCGGGGTATAGGGTTTCAGTGCCTTTTGACATACAAGTGAAATTTGAGTAAACAAAATGGATGTGAACATGAGATTCCTAGACCGACTTAAACACTATCGAGAACAATATTTTTGAGTAAACAAAATGGACGTGCGCATCTGGGTACAAACCTCGATCAGTACGTCGGAGGGTACTATGATACACTACACTAGATGTGCTCCAGTCGTATCTACCCGAGGGGTTAAGTTCCTTTTGACATACAAAAGGAAAGGTTACCAAGAATCTTTTGCCATGAGATTCTTAGACTGACTTAAACACCATCGAGAACAATATTTTCGAGTAAACAAATTTGACATGCGCATCTAAGGAATCGAACCCCTGTCAGTATCGTGGGAGGGTACTATAATACCACTACACTAGATGCGCTCCCTTTTAAGAATCTTAGCCCACGTAAAGAAAGCCCTATGTAATCGAGGGTTTAAGTGCCTTTTGACATACAAATGAAAAGGTTACCAAAAATCATTTGCCATGAGATACCTAGACCGACTTAAAAATCTTTTGCCATGAGATTCCTAAACCGACTTAAACACTATCGAGAACAATATTTTCGTGTAAACAAAATGGACGTGCACATCCCCAGTCAGTACCATGGGAGGGTAATATGATACCACTACACTTGATTTGCTCCCTTTTAAGAATCTTAGCCCACGTAAAGAATTGATGCACTCCCTTTTAAGAATCTTAGCCCACGTAAAGAATTGATGCGCTACCTTTTAAGAATCTTAGCCCACGTAAAGAATTGATGTGCTACCTTTTAAGAATCTTAGCCCACGTAAAGAAAGCCCTATGTAACCGAGGGGTTAAGGCATAGGCACTTTTGAGATACAAATAAAAAGCCCAAATAAAGAAAGCCCTATGTAGCCAAGGGGTTAAGTGCCTTTTGACATACAAATGAAAAGGTTACCAAGAATCTTTTGACATGAGATTCCTAGACCGACAACTTCAACACGGTTGAGAACAACAATATTTTCAAGTAAACAAAATTGACGTGCGCATCCGGGGAATCGAACCCCGATCAGTACCGTGGGAGGGTACTATGATACCACTACACTAGATGCGCTCCCTTTTAAGAATCTTAGCCCATGTATAGAAAGCCCAATGTAACAGAGGGGTTAAGTGCCTTTTGACATACAAATGAAAAGGTAACCAAGAATCTTTTGCTATGAGATTCCTAGACCGACTTAAACACTGTCGAGAACAATATTTTTAATTAAACAATATTGACATGCACATCAGGGGAATCAAACCCCGATCAATACCGTGGGAGGGTACTATGATACCACTACACTAGATGCGCTCCCTTTTAAGAATCTTAGCCCATGTAAAGAATGCCATATGTAACCGAGGGGTTAAGTAGCTTTTGACATACATATGAAAAGGTTACCAAGAATCTTTTGCTATGAGATTCCTGGACCGACTTAGACAATGCTGAGAACAATATTTTTGAATAAAAAATATGGACATGCACATCCCGGAAATAGAACCCCAATCAGTACCGTGGGAGGGTACTATGATACCACTAGATGCGCTCCCTTTAAGAATCTTATCCCACGTAAAGAAAGCCCCTAGGGGTTAAGTGCCTTTTGACATACAAATAAAAAGGTTACCAAGAATCTTTTGCCATGAGATTCCTAGACCAACTTAAACACTATCGTTTACAATATTTTTGAGTAAACAAAATGGACGTGCGCATCCGGGGAATCGAACCCCAGTCAGTACCGTGGGAGGGTATTATGATACCACGTAAAGAAAGCCCTATGTAATCGAGGGTTTAAGTGTCTTTTGACATACAAATGATAAGGCTACAAAAAATCTTTTGCCATGAGATTCCTAGACCGACTTAAACACTATTGAGAACAATATTTTCATGTAAACAAAATGGATGTGCGCATCCCCGGTCAGTACCATAGGAGGGTAATATGATACCACTACACTTGATTTGCTCCCTTTTAAGAATCTTAGGCCACGTAAAGAATTGATGCGCTCCCAATTAAGAATCTTAGCCCACGTAAAGAAAGCCCTATGTAACTGAGGGGTTAAGTGTCTTTTGACATACAAATGAAAAGGTTACAAAGAATCTTTTGACATGAGATTCCTAGACTGACTTCAACACTGTTGAGAACAAAAATATTTTCGAGTAAACAAGATTGACATGCACAACTGGGGAATCGAACCATAATCAGTACTATGGGAGGGTACTATGATACCACTACACTTGATGAGCTCCCTTTTAAGAACCGAGGGTACTATGATACCACTACACTTGATGAGCTCCCTTTTAAGAACCTTAGCACACGTAAAGAAAGCCCTATGTAACCGAGGGGTTAAGTGCCTTTTGACATATAAATGAAAAGGTTACCAAGAATCTTTTTCCATGAGATTCCTAGACCGACTTAAACACTATCGAGAACAATATTTTTGAGTAAACAAAATTGACGTGCGCATCCAAGGAATCGAACCCCAATCAATACCGTGGGAGGGTACTATGATACCACTACACTAGATGCGCTCCCTTGTAAGAATCTTAGCCCATGTAAAGAAAGCCCTATGTAACCGAATAGTTAAGTGCCTTTTGGCATACAAATGAAAGGTTTTTCCCAAGAGAATCCTTGCCCAATGAAACCTGTATGTAACTAAAGAGAGTTAGGAGTTAAGTCCACGCTCCACTACGTCGTTCAACATACAAATGAAAGGTCACTAAGAATCTTATCCCATGAAAATCCTAGTTCAATGAAAACCCTATGTATATGTAACTAAGGAGTTATGTCCATGTGCATCCTGGGAATCGAACCCGGTCAGTACCATGGGAGGGTACTATGATACCACTACACTAGATACGCTTCCTTGTGATAATCTTAGCCTATGTAATGAAAGCCCTATGTAACCGAGTAGTTAAGTCTATGCTTCAACAGACCTTTCGACATTCTAGATTGTATCAGTCCGACTTAAACACTTTCGAGAATAATATTTTTGAAAGGGAATTGAACCTCAATCATTACCACGGGAGGGTACACTATGATACCACTAGATGCATTGTGTCCCTACAATGTAACCAAATAGTTAAGTTCACGCATCAATGGACCTTTCGACATATAAATGAAAGGTTACTTAGAATCTTAGACAATGTAATTAAAGCCCTATGTAACCAAACATTAAGTTCACACATCAATGGGCCTTTCAACACTCAAATGAAAGGTTACTAAGAATCTTAGACCATGTTATTAAAGTCCTCTGTAACCTAAGTCCACGCTTCAACGAGCCTTTCAACATATAAATGAAAGGCTACTAAGAATCTTAACCCATGTAATGAAACCGAGCAGTTAAGTCCACGCTTCAACAAACATACAAATGAAAGGCTACTAAGAATCTTAGTCCATGTAATGAAACCGAGCAGTTAAGTCCACGCTTCAAAGGACATACAAATGAAAGGTTACTAAGAATCTCCCATGTAATGAAAGCCCTATGTAACCAAACAGTTAAGTCCTCGCTCCAATAGACCTTTCGTAGGGATGAGGGTTGCTCTCTCCAAATTATCATAATTATATTATATGAAAACTATTAGATGAGCTAAATTTTGGTTTTAAATATAATATTTTTATGGGATCTCTAGTTATATATATATATATATATATATATATATATATATATATATATATTTTGCTTTACTTGAGTTGATTAAATTAAATTGATTTTTATTCTTTGTCCTCGTAACAAAAAAAATAAATAAATAAATAAATAAATCGTTCACAAAGAAACCCGATTCAATTAGTTGAATAGAAAAAAATATTCGAGTTGAATGAACATTTTTTCGTTGGAAACATATACATAAAGGAAAATGCACATTTGGAAAATCAAATCCCAGTCAATATCCGTTGAAATTTGTTTAGCCTTTTTACAATTTTTTTAATTAAAAATCCTAGAATAATAAATTCAAGAAAATAAAAAACTGTTTTTTTTATTTTTTTTCACGCGAGCAACTTAATTATTTTATTAACAAAAAAATCTTAATAAATTTGAAGTAATTTAATATAATTGGATTTTTTTTCCCCTTAAGAAACAATTATTAAAATTTCACTTTAAAGTGGTTAACTTTTCAAAATATATAGCCTGAAACAGACACATAAAGCTATAATACCCGAATAAAGAGAGAAAAAAAAAAAGGAAAAGGAAAAGTCAAGAGAGGGACAAATAGGTAAGTTTGCCCTTCCAAGCATTAAGGGGTCCAATGAAACCCTATCAAGAGTCCTGCAAAGCAAAAGAGAAATAGTGAGGGAAACTGGTTAGAGAGAACCTAGAGTGTGGAGGAACTACCATTGAAGTCTATTCCAGTCAAGATCATGATGCAAGGAGCCTTTCTTGGAAAGGAAAAGAGAATGTGGGTGGCCGAAGTCCCATTTTTCATCAAGAAATCGGAAAAAACCTGCGAGGTAAGATCTTGAACGTTTTCTCAAATCTACGGTTTTCCTTTGTGAATCAAGATCTGAAATCTTGATATATTCATCTAGGAACAGCTCTCTACAGGATCTTTGAAGAAGTTTGGCTAAAATCTCGATCCGAAAGCAGAAACCTAAGAATTGTCCTAGAACGGTGAGCAAACTTTCGACGCTCTTAGCCCGTAACACGAGCTAGAACTTCGCCGAAGGAATCATATCGATCAGAACTACGAATCAAAAGATATGAAAATCGGAAAGGGGATACTGTGTTACGGATTGCAGAGGACAGAGATGAAAAAAAAAAGTCAGCTGGCGAGCGGCGAAGGGCGGGGTGACAGGCGTCGGACACACGTCGACCGTCGGCTGGAGCAATGCAGCTCCAGCAAGGCGACGACACGTGTTGCCTACAAGCCCGAGCCGAGCCGAACCGGACTGGCTGACCCGCGACTGTGCAGAAGCTGTCGTGCGTGTGGCCTACGACAGGCGCACTTCCACGCGCGTGGCCAGTGCACTACCAGCACGTGAGCGCGCTTGAAACGGCCGTTTTGGCCCGTTTGCCCTCTGTTTGCCCGATTCTTGTCCCGGTTCCAGTTCTAATACAATAGGGACCTAATTGAAGGAAATTAGTAATTTTGGACACCTCACGGGCAAAGAAACACTAGCGAAAGAGCACGCGTCAACCAGGTAAGTCACCACCCGGTATTTAGGAAGAAATACTTGTAAGATTAGCTTGGATTGCACGTATTCTAGTACCTTTGCCTTAGAGTTAGCTCTCCATGAATGAGATTAGTCGGATTGATTGTTATGAGTGTATTGGGTGAATTGCATGAGTGTTGCTTGTATGCTTTAAGCTTCCGTCGTACGTATGCATGCATTTAATTTATGTTGAATTGTGTATTCCGCGTTCTGTGTGCTTGATGGATGAATTCGCCCCATTGAGCGTGAACTTCATGTTCTGGGTGCTTGATGGAGGCCATCGACCCGTTGAGCTGGCATGCCTAATTTGCATGAATTATATATTATGATGTTAGAAGACGGTTGCATGCACACTCTAGTATTTGCTAGGGCCCATTTCTATGATAAGCCTAGGGAATTGCTGTTAGGAACGATAAGTTGCTCCTCTATCCAGACTTAACCATCCACTAGGAACTAAGCGGATTACCACGACAACAAGGTACCTCAGGAGTGTTCATAAATTGCTAGGGTGAGAACGGTATCTATAGCTTCGTGGGAGGACCAAGGGTTACTGACCAGTACTTACTACTCTTAGCCATTTCGCATGAGAAATGTGTCCCCACGTCGTACAGCCCATTAGCTGTATGGGAACGGGTTGGGTCGCGCCCACCGCAGGGGACTATATGGGCTTAGGGGTATTCAGCACAACCCTAGACTAGATACCATGTAGTCCCAGATAGCCATGTAGAGGTAGTGCCTCATAAAGAGATACCGATCATATCAGCTTGGCGTAAGGAACCTCTAGGTGTCTAATGAAAGGACGATGAACTGGTGAAACCCAAGGGGTAAGCTCCAAGGGAGTAAGATTAGAACCATATGTCCTAGAAACGAATTAGGAGACCATGGAAACCTGTTAAGTTAGAATGCGAAAAGAGCCTACAAGTAGGTGGCTTACTGAGTATAATTTTTATACTCATTCCTTTCTACCTTTTTTGTCAGGTGCAGGTCGAGGTGGAGGAGCGTTCGAGAGCTGTGCAGTCACAGAGGGGATCGATCCGGAATGTCAATCCATTTTCGATCTTTTGGAGTCTTTTGCAAATTCCTTTTATATTTGTATTGTATTTCCTTTTTGTAAATTTAAATCCTCTTTTGAAATATTTGAAAATTACAGGCCGCTTTCCTCTATTTTAATTTTATTTGATTTTCATCTTTTTATTTTACTCTTCTTTTTATTTTCTTTTATTTTTGTTTTTTTTAGATTTCGTCTTTTGGGTCACGAAGCCTAAAAAATCGGGTCGTAACAAAATCGCTTAAACTCAGTCTATTTCCGGCATCATAACCATAGTTAGTGACGCATTCATCATAGTTAGAAGTTCCAGTTTCGTATAAAGGTCACGGTCGATATCGTCATGATCATCAATATCACCACTATCATCCATGTCGTCACTATCATCAATAAGAAAACTCTTAGGGTAGTTATCCGGGAACTTGTTCAGTAACGAAAGGAAGATAGAAGTTTGTCGCTAGGTATTTGACCAAATAGGATTGTAATATAGTGGCAGCAAACATATTTATTATTTAGAAAAGTTTTATAACAAATGTGAGATAAAATAACATTTTGATGTGACTAGATGTTATGTGACCTAGAGCACATGTATGACATGTTAGTGAGCCTTTAGCTATGTTTTATCTTTTTTTTGGTCCCTCAATAATATTTCTGGTCCATTATAACATTATGGGTCAACTAGGTCAATATTTCTGGTCTATTATGACATTATGGGTCAACTAGGTCTGTATAAGAATAGTTAGGACGCAAACCCTAATCGTAAACTTAACTCAATTGGTGAAGGTCTACCTAGCATATAGGAATGCAACATTACCCCACTTAAGACCCATGAAACATTGAGAGGGTACTATAGATGGAGCGTTGGTTGTGCATAATGGGGAGCCTACTATTACTTATAGTCAACGACGATTCCTCCATGCCTTTTATACTTTCTTAGAGCATGAGACAAATGAGTGTTGGATCGGTATGGTAACCCTAGAGAGGTGAATAGAGTTTTAACGATAAAAGTATTTAAGCTTGATTAATTTTTCTAATTATGAAACTTTTTAAAGAAAGTATGACAACACAATAGTTGTAGTTTTATTGTGGTTAGGTCAAACTCGACCTACTCCACTTCCCAAGCGACTCTTGGGAATTTGAATAAAAAACTTTCTCGACTTCTTCCACGGATTAGAGCCCAACTGCTACACCGTTCTTTTTACGTGTTCAAGAACAAATTCAATTCTTTTCACGGCGTAGGATCAAACCGATACAAGTATTTAAATTTGGTAGCAACACACCACAACTCTCTAAAATAGTAGATTTACAATTTAGAACACTCACCACTATTCCCTTACAATACAATAAAAAATATCTCTCGAAAATAAGATAAATAAAAATAAAATTGAAAACTCGAGAGAATTATGAAAGTTGTGTGGAAAATGTGGGGAAGTTATGGGTTTAAATAGACATGAAAAGTGGCAAAAAGTAGATTCGGTTAGAAGTGAAATGGAAGGGGTATATTAAAGTAAATAATAACCAAATTTTGTAAATTTATTTTTATTATTATTTTTAATAAATATAATAATATAATATAAAAATAATAAAAATCTGTCAGCACGGGATAATGACTAATTCAAAATTTATTATAAATATAATAATATAATAATAATAAAAATGATGTGAGTAATCCAAAATTTCAAAATATAATAATATAATAATATAATATATTATAAATAATTTTATTTAGAAATATAATAATAAGAAAACTCTACAATTTCTTACTCTTCCAAATATTTTGATATGTCTATCATTTTGATTTAGCTGTTATACCATTACGTTGGGTATGTTGTTTCGACTATGATTTCTCCGTTTTAGCTCTGATTTTAGTGATGAAAAAGTCGTTGAAATTGTCATTCCCAACCTTATACTATGGACAGTTTAAAATACTGAAAATTGTTTATAATTAAAAGATTTGTTAGGATCAAAATTTCACTCAATTAATTAATCAAAATTAATTAAGATGAGATTAAGGGCCAAAAAGCCAACAATGAGGACACTTCGACTTGCGCACGAAGCGTGATAATTAGACGGACCATGTAGAGTAGAAAATGAAAGGCTACGTGCACCCTGAAATTTCAATATACCCTTATGGGTGATTTATAATCTTGGAATAGGTGTAGGGTATATGAACCGTAAGAGCTTACCCGGGCTAGAAAAGAACCTAAGCCAAGAAATTGACTAGGTTATTACTATTATTTCTATATTCATTTATGCTATTCTTTGTTCAACCATGTTTAAATATCACTTTCATGAAAACCGTATGTTTGACTTTAATTTTTTCGTGTTCGGATTTTACAAAATCAAAAAAATGAAAGATGAACTATTAAAATAATAAATTTAATAAATAAAAAGCTAATTTTTAATATCTGTTATCCGATATTAATTATGCGATCACTTGATGGCGTGATTTTTTATTTTATGAAATTATAAATACACAAACTTTAAAGAATTCCAAGGAAAACCTTAAAAATATGAAAAACATCACACAAATCATCGTTCAAGGTTTTATTGACTTAGATTTCAAATGACAAAATTAAACTTTTATTGACACTAAATTGATGACACCAGTCTAAGCTAATCAGGTAAATGACGTTACCGTTGGTGTTAGATAATTGAATGATGTATGGTGGTGCATGTTTTGTGGCACTGCATGCACCATATTTTTATATGTTATGTTTATGTCTTCTTTTTATTGACATATGATGCTATGTAATGTAGGTACGTGATATCCATTACAATATATTAGGAATGAAATGAAATTCTATGTATGTCATGTCATATCTTACCATGTAAAGTTATGTGGTGGGTAATGTGATGATGTATACATGATGCATATATGTAATATGTTCGGATGAAGGAGAAAGTTAAAACCGTCTTCTCTTTGGTAGCTTTCTAGTTTGAGAAAATTGGATGTGCAGTACTTCTCTACACATGATCCACATGTATGAGCATGTGCCTACCAAGAAGGCTCGCACACCCCCTGGGCCTACTAGTCGAGCTATAGCACCCCTGCCTTATAGCCGAACACTCGGAGGGAATAGTGACACGTTGCACCATGCTAAGCATGATGGTCATTTTAGTCTCATAGTATACGTGTCTATACTCATCATAAAAGGGAAGTATCTCGATGCACGTGAACATACAATTATGAACTAAGTCCCCATATTTTTCCGTTATAACCAACCATGCAAGACAA